ACAAAACAATTGCGAAACTGAACGAACTGGAATATGAAGTTTTGCAGCATCCACCATATTCACCGGATCTCTCGCCGACCGATTTTCATTTTTTCAAGCATTTAGAGCTGTTTTTAAGAGGCAAACACCATGAAAATGAAGACAGTCTAAAAAACTCGATATCAGAGTTTATTAATTCTAAAGACCAAAATTTTTTTAAGACAGGCATCTACGCTTTAAAATCTCGTTGGGAGAAGTGTATTGAAGCGAATGGAGCATACTTTGATTGAATAAACAGCTTTTGAAGAAAGATATACAGTTTTATACAATCACTTAAGAATCCGACATTTCATATGCACCAACCTAATAATATAGCAGTTGAATTATTTAACAAATTGACCAAAAGAACCGTCAGATTCAAACTTGCGTTATTCTCGAAACATTGTTGCTTCCTTTTCTCTCCAAAATGCTGGTCACATATTTTTTTCATTTTGATACAACCCTCTCTCTCTCTCTATCTCTCTCTTTCCCTCTCTCTTTCTCTAGTCCGCACAAGAGTAATTCATGTAATTTAACGTGACGTGATCTCGCGATTTTTAATCCCGCGCATCCCTTTCTGATTTTCGCGTGTAGCCCATTCGCACACGCGAGAAATCGAATAGGAAACCCGCAACAATGAGATTGCGAAAAATAATAATGGACGAGTGTCGATATGTGTGTCGCGTTATTCGCGATCATAGAGACGTCCGCAGTATCTCGTTGTTCTTTGCTTGCTTCGCGATTACCGCTCGGGGCCGATTTAACGAACAATATCCGTGTGTACCGCGGTTAATCGAAATCGAAACGGCGGATTGCGTCCCATTGTCGTTCGCGAGCAAGCGAACGAACGAGCCAGGGAGCGAGCGGGACGGAATCTAGTTAAAAAAGCGTATTTCGATGTAAATTCTGCGGCACGGTCTATGTATAAGCGTAAAACCAGGCGCGCATAAAACTTTCCGCCCGAAACGGGGCCGCCGTTCTCGTGGCTGCAACTTTTAGACCGCTTTTTTCCGCGCTGTTTACGAAACGACCGTTGGCTTAAACAGCTGCCTGCTCGAACTGATCTCAAGTCCCGGAACACGTCCGAAACTGCTTCTTGCCGTATACGAATCCGCCGCCTCCGTTAACTGCCCGTTGCCCGGTTAATAATCCAGCCTTGGACCTCCTTTTCTTTTTTAGCCATACTGCTTTCAGCAGTAATTATTCCCACATGCGTATGTCCCTCGAAGATATAATTTACAAGCGCAAAATATTTGAAAATTCCCGAATTCATTTTAACAGTTAATTTTAATAATCAATTAATTCCTATTTATTATTCCCAAATTTCTGTTAATTTTTGACAGCAATTAATATTAATATAACTTAATATTGATATAAATATTTAATATTAATTAATTAATTTGTATGTGTGTGTGTGCGTGCGCGCGTGCGCCTGTGTGTAACGTTTGACGAACTCGCGGGTGAATTTTTCACGGAGAGAAATTCGTGTACATCGCGAGAAACGATTAGTTTGATACTCAACCAGCCGCTTCTGCGAGTATCTAATGTCACGCGCAAGCGAAGAGGATGACGAGGTCTCACGTTATAAACGGCTTCAAGAAATGATACACGCGAGGATGGGACGCGGGGCGCCTTACATAATATCAACGATTCCTCTCAGATGGTTTAAAAATCGAGCGAATCAAGTCAATGGGCCACGAAGGCTCCTATCGATTTCCGAAAAACTACTAAACGCGCGGCGGGACGCCGTGTCCCTCAAGCCCCGCCGACGAAGACGATCTCGGGACGAACAGCCGCCGGTGCGCCGGCCTCGAAATCCGAGACTCCGAGTTTCAAAAGTTAAACCATAGACCCCCTCCGACACCTTCGCCGTTTTCGGAAGAAAGCGAAGAGCGTCGTTCACAACCCTCGTTCATCTCGCTCGCGATCTTCCCACGAATCTCACGATCCCGATCGATCTCGGCACGCAGCGATTCTCGATCTTCGCGGACCTCCTCGCGCGATCCGATTGATGATGCGCGGCGTGGTAAAATTAGCATCTGACGAGAGGACATCTCGCAGAGACAGAGATGCATCGAGAGAACGGTCTCGTCGAGGTCCCACGAGGCTTGTTATCGTAAATCCCCGACGTCGCGAAGATCGCGACCTTCGACATCGCGGGCATTTCGGGGACTTCGGTCATCGACGGAAAGAGGGAGAGAGAGAGAGAGAGAGAGAGCGAAACCGCGACTCCGTCGATCTCTCGAACCTCACGAAAATCACCGCCATCGGTCCCCCCCTCCTTCCCTCCCCTGCGCCGAAAGGGGATCGACTGACCACCCCCCGACGAGCACGTCGGACCTCCAGGCGTCACTTACCACATATCTTCCTCGGCGGCGAAGCACGACGGATTGCGTTGCGTATCACGCGAGCCGCCGGGCGTATCCGCTCGTCATATCCTCGTTCTCACGCACTCGCGACCTCGCGATCGCTCGCTCACTGTTGCCGCCCCGCTGCTACTGCCGAGAGTCGCCCTTTTCCTTCCGCGTTCCCGCGTCACTCTCTTGCTCCGCCTAATGATCTTCCCGATGCGCCGGCCCCGGCGGTGATCCGACTCTCCACTCCCGTGGATTACGCAGGGCGCTACGCACCCTCTTCGCCCGCAGGAGCAGCGATCTCGCGAGCGGACGGTGTCGTCGCGACCAAGTCGAGGGTGCAGCACCCTTCTCTCTCTAGCTCTCCCTCTCTCTCTCTCGTCGGCCCTTCTCTCCGCGAAGCGTGTCCGCGCGACGTGTGTGCGTATCTCTCGCGCCTTCCTCGTGGCCTCCCTGTGTCGCGTACCCGCTTCCTGGAGCACACAGCACGAGAGCATTCACTACTACGAACCACCACCACCAGGCACCGGTACACAACTACGACGGAAGACGTGGGGAAAACCGAGCGCGGGCGCGCGCACCACCGTCACCACACGTTCCGCCACCTCCACCACTCCTTTTCGCTCCTTCTGTCTAATTCTCGCGCACTCTCTCTCTGTCCCTCCTGTTCTCTCTCTCTCCTTCTCTCTCTTTCTCACTCTCTCTCGATCGGCTCTTTCCGTTCCTCTCGCGATCGTTCTATATTTCTGCCTCTCTTTCCCTCCTTCTATCTCGATCCCTCGTTCAGTCGACGTGGCCTCTCTCGCGCCTCGTGTAAACTTATAAATAGATATCTAGGTGCGTTCTATTATATATATATAAATATATATATATATATATGTATATATGTGTATATATATGCGCGCGCGCATCACACGCGTGCGACGCGAGAGGGAGAGAGAAGGCGAACGTGAGCGCGCGACATCGTTCCGTGAAGAAGAGACCGATCCCGCGTGTGTACGGTGCTTTCTCTACATATACGGCGACCCCGAGAAACGCGCACCCTCCTCTTCCTCTTCCGCCTCCTTCTCTTCGGAGTATCGGACTTCGCGCTCGAGAATCCCCAAGAGACGATCGTCGCGGAGATTCCCGGCAACGGAACTATCGCCCGGCACGTTCGACTTCCGGCGTGAGGGTGACGGAGGGTTGCTAACGCGACGGCGACGACATCGAAGAGACGGCGGTGGCGACGGCTGCGACGACGACGGCGTTTACATCGTCGGCTGCGATCAATCGGACTTTCTTCCCTTCTTCCCTCGCGACCGCCGCGACGACGGAGAAACGTTCTTCGCCCTTTCGAGTCTTCTTCTCTCTTCGGGTCGAGTCCCTCCCGGCTCCCTCCCTCGCTGCCCTCCTTGACCACCCTCCTCGCCTCCCTTCGGGACCAAGCAACCCCGATGTCACTGCACCGCTCTCTGTCTCGCTCGGCCGCCCGCACGGCCAGTGCTCCCTTTTCCTATATATACACGCATTCCACCGCGTTGGTCTCGCCCCGCATACGTTCCCCTTGGTAGCACACCGGGGCTCTCCCGGTGAACGACTTCCGTCGGGGACGACGTCGTCCGTGTCGAACCAGCTGGAGAACGTTCTCCGCGCGCGATACGGCTGGACGACGACGAGGACGGCCACACGACACACGCTCCCACATTCGGCGATATACCGCCGGCTCGACGCCAGCGACGCCTGGCGTCACGACGCCCCACCCCCGTGCGCGTGGCGACGCGCCACAGCGACGAGGGGGCATGATCGCTGGAGAGGTGGTGGTGGTAGCGAGCGTGTTGCCAATCCCCGTGCCGGCCAGTGGCGGATTTAAAGGGCAGAGGAGCGTCGGGACGCGCGCGGCCGTCTATGTGTCGGATCGAAATTTGGGAAAATCGTTCTATTTACAGCGGGAAATCTCGGTGTATTCGCGCGGGACGAAATCTCTCCCCTTGATTTACGGGCCCTCTTTTAATTTGAATTTCCCCTCTCGTGTTTGCGTCCGGAGTCTCCGATGTTTCCCCCCTCCTCGGAGCGGAGATGCAGCGTGTGGTTTTCTCTCAGCTCGGCGAGATTTTCCAGCGAGATAGAAAATTCCGTTATCAGCTTGCCGTCGAATATTTTCAAATCCGCTCGGCGATCGCTCGCACGGGGTTGAACGTTGCGGGCAAGGGAGGCGAGAAGGGGGCAGATGTGTGCCGCGAGATAGATGGGAAATCGGCGTGCTGCGCACGCGAATCGACGGACAGCGCGCGTACGAAGGAAAACACTTCTTCGTCGACGCGGACGACGGAGGGTCGACGGAAAAATTTATTTTCGACCCATTTCAGTCGACCTACTTTCCGCGATCGCACGCCGCAGGGGATCGCGCACCGAGTTTACTTTCCAACCGAGGGCCGGGGCACAGAAGCGGATGATTTAACGGGACGCTACGTTCTTTGTTGCGCGCTACCGTCCGCTGACGTCCCCTCGCGCCTTGCGACGCGCCGCCGATTTTCCTCGAGAACATACGAGAACGTACGAGAAACGGACGGATGTCCGAGAGAAAAATATTTCGTATTTGTGAAAATATTTGTGATTGAAATATCGCAATTATACACCGTAATGAAAGAATTGTAGTCAGAAGAATCATTTTTCTCTACATAGAGAAAAAAATGTGTGTACGTGTGCTAGAATCAAGTAAACGTAATTATCTGTCTGTTTTTCAGTCTCGTACATCAAGTAATATTTTTATTAATTTAAACATTCTAGTAGTTTATAATAAATACTTACTTGAACGTAGTAATACCTTTGTAAATGAATTATTGAATGTAAGTGTAAAATGGTTCTAAATTTAAGAAAATATTTACCGAGTAAAATACTTTCTTAAATTTATGTAATACTTATTTTCCCTCGAAGAAATCTAGTGATTTTAAATTTAGACTTTTTTGCTCGGTAAATATTTTACAGAAGTAAAATCTGTTATTCTCAATTTTATGAATCTAATACTTGTCGCAATTGTTTTTTGAATGCAAACAAGTAAATGTCTACTTATACGAAGGAAATATCATATTGTACGTAGTTAATTATATTTCTACTTTTAATAAATATTTATCAAGGAGTATTGAAGTAACCATTTTACTTGGATCAAATAAATATTACTAGAATAGTAGCACTTTTTCTCCGAATAGTGAATGTTGCTATAGTGTCGAAGATAATAATCTTGCACGCCTATTGCTATCACTAAATATTTTTATAGTTAAAACTAAAAAAATAGGTATAGTTAAAACTGAAAATAACTATAATTTTTTTTCGATGTGAGACTTAATGTGTGCACGAATTGACTATTGAGAAAAGAATAAAGTCATTGAAAATCAATCGTGTCCGTCGTAACACTTACGACGCTGAGAATGAGTGGAATCCTTATAGAAAAGTATGACTGCCTATGATAAATTGTCCAGTGATCATTTATTGTTGCTTAGTAATTTGATTACGTACGAATAATAAAATTACTGAGCAACAATAATTTATTACTGGCCAATTTATCATAGACAGTAATACTTTCCTGTAAGAGAAGCACCATCTTCGCACATGTCAGTTTTTTCACGAGTAATCATTTTTAATAGCGAAACTCCTTGTTCAATTTGTTTTTACGAGATCGTAAAAGAAGCATTATCGCACGATAAAAAAAGATTTTATGCCTACGCGATTTCGCAAATATTTCTATTAAAATGTGGAAGCTAACTATTGTTTCGCCCGACGAATTACATAAAACACGATGAAAACGCGTCGAGTGTCCGTTGCGGAAAAAAGGAGGAGATGATTAAAAGAAAATGGCAGGTCACACGTTTTTTTTTTCCTTATCTTTTACGCTTTTTGGCTGGTTCGCGCGTGTAATAAGTGCGACCTACATATTTTAAGGATGCGAGCGTCGTGTTACACGACGGCGAAATCTATTCGCCAAGTGGGGAATCAAGGATCAGATAAATTCGCGCTTTATTCTTCGTTCGCCAACGTTCCATATCTAATCTCTTATGCCCTAAAAAGTCGCGCCTATTCGGGCTCGTTAAGCAAAAAAACTTTATTAAGAGAGAAGAAGCGCGCGCCCCGAATAAATTGCTGAACGATTCGCGAAAATTCTCATCGTACGAAGGAAGAAGAGAGAGAGAGAGAAAGAGAAAAAGAGAGAGAGAGAGAGAGAGAGAAGGAGAGAGACGAGATCCCAGGCTGCCTCTCAGCTCTCGTATCGGCAAAATTTGCCCGTCTACGTGCACGAATAATATATTATTCGTAACAGTGCTCGGAAATAGTGCTCGCGATGTGCGACTTGAAGTTAATGCACCCACAAAGGCAGACACAAAGTGGCAAAGACGTTACAAGAAAGGCAAGTAGCTGGCCGTATGTTACTGTCACAGTCAGACATGACGCAGCGGCTAAACTCGATGGAAAATTCACAAATGGAAATGTTTATCGGATGATAATTGCTCGCGAAGGGGCACGCGCATTACGCCTCGGGGAAATTAGAATGAAACATGGTGAGAAGTATCGCTTAATATTACGTTTACCGTCGTTATTACCGCGTGCATTACCGTGCGAAGGGACACGTATTTATATAGGGTGTATACGATCGATCACGAAATTACGCCGTAAGAAGTATCAGTTTACGAACTCTCTCTCTCTCTCTCTCTCTCTCTCTCTCTCTCTCTCTCTCTCTNTCTCCTCCTCTCTCCTGCTCTCTATCGGTTCCGTCGTGCGCTGTTTCTCGTCCAATATTATGTAAAGTCCTGTCAAGACAGAAGTATTACATAAAAAAAAAGAAAAAAAACGAAGCGAAGGTTGCGCAACGAAATAAAAACTGGCTGGCAGCTAATCATATCCATTAAACGCGAGTTTCCGAGAAACCGTAACTGAACGAAAGGGGGATAAATGTCAACTAGGGATGGATGCAGGGAAACATAAAGAATCGATATTTTATATCGATACGAATTGAAATGTATAGTAACGATACACAAATATATTGAATAGAAGTGTATCGATATTAGAGAATATCATTTAATTACTTTTTTACGTGTCTTTTGTATATTATTTTGCTCGTCGAAGATTGATAAAAAATGATAAAATTCTAAATGTATATTATCAAGGAAAAGTCTGAGAGTTGCCGACATTGTTCGGTGATCTTCCTGAGAAAGTGCGTATAAACTATGTCCATTTCGCGCGGTAACGCTTGGTTCGTTTCCGTTCAATAACCCTCAACCAATAAAAAGGTCATATTAATGTCTGAAAACAGTATTTGGGACCGTTTGGAAAGAAGAATATGTTTACGAGTACTATCCAATAACAAAGCGAAACCAAATTATGCTTTAGTTTGTAAAGAATCAATTGATATCTAGGTCTTTAATCAATACATTAGGATATAGAAACTCAAAATATCGATGCAGAGTATCGAATATCAAATGGCCGTGTATCGATATGAATCGTAGTTAATGTTAACCCTTGCTGTTAATCCTTCGCGCTTTAAGGCGCCGTGACGATGCCGTCCCGGAAAT